CAACAAAGTCACTGGTTAGAGATTGCTTTGGCTTTTAAATTAAATAGGCCAAAGTTTCTCAAGATACCTACATGCCTGAATTCTTACAGAATTTTTAAAAACTGGCTACTGTTTTTAATTGTTCTTTATTCTAAATAACTGTCAACATGGTATTGATGGCTGTTTTTCAAACAGCTCAACTTTCCAAATAACTGTGCATTCCTGCGGGTTTCTTCAGCTGCCTCCAGATGCATACGGAGTGTGTGTGAAGCTCAGCAGGAATTTTAAATTCTGAGGAAACACCTTTGCAAACAGTTTCCTGCATCTTTCATCAAGTCTTAATGCACAGTGTAATCAACACCTCACTAATGGGCTATTTTTTGAAAATAAACTACTAACAGAACCTGATGGGAAGGCTAAACGCTACAGAGAAAGGGCAGTGAAGGACCTACCACGATTTTTCAAGTCGTTTTTGCCCTGGGCAATACACTAGCAGCAATACTTGTAGTACGAAGCCAAGGTTTCCTGGTATAAAGCTCTTCCAGAGCCAGGCGGGGCTTCATACAACATTTCAGCATGTGCACTTTATGTACAGTTAACAAACTTTGCCAATACGTTCCCCCAGAGTATTCAAAGAAGTGGCAAATAGCAGCTCCATGCCCATAGCAGGGGTGGGAGGGAGAAGGCTGTGCAAGAGTTTACTTGAAATTGAAAGATTATTTTCTTTCTCCAAGAACTAGGCCATAGACAATCTGATCTAAGTTGCTGCATACAGAAAAAGCAGTGGACAAAACTGGCTCACCACCCAGTACTGCTGTTGACGGAGCTGGCCCATCTGCATGGATGGAGCTGGCTGATTTAATTACAATGTAAACTCACACTGAGCCTCAGAGTGGACGTCTAGAACCAACCTCTTCCAAATGCTGATGGTTAGACTAGATGATCTGAGAAGTCTTTTCCAATCTTAGCTATTCAGTGATTCTATATGCATGTGGACATGCAGGACAGCCGCAGGTTTTCTTCCCTTTGGTTGCTGCCCACCATCTTACAAGAATGGCTATTAGCTGTTATCACATGCAGTTAGCCTACTCTGTGCCCGAAGGTAAGGCCTGAGATCCCTGTGCCTGGCTGTGGCTGACCTGCCAGCCCCACCTCAAGCACTACAAGTCCATAAATCTGAGTGCTTCCTCCACCAGACTCTTCTTAAATTCTCATTTGAGGGGCCCAAACTCAGTGCTGCCACCAGCCCACAATTACAGTCACTAGTCAAGCAGATATGGGGCACTATGACATGGGGCAGGATGTCAATTCAGCTCAGAGACAAGCTCAGGCAGTGCAAACATCAGCTTGGCTACAGGCAAACAAGAGGGCCCTGTAAGAAGTTTGGAGGGATTCCTCAGGCCATGAAGAATGTGACACAGATACTGACAGGCAGCAAATCAACTGCACCTTCTTTCACAAGATCTCCAATGTCATCTTAGCTTTGAAGGACTTAATTCTGCCCTCTACAGCAGCCCAAGTTTAGCTCAGGGCTACTTGCTCCCAGAAAAGTCTCTCCAGCTTTTGTCACATGCAGCTCTGTCCAAACTAATTTAAGCAGACTGTCCATGAGCTCATCTCCCTCAGAGAGCCAGTCAGTCCCAAAATAAGAGAGCCTTTCCTCCTCATCCAGTGGCCCAAATCCCCTTAGTGAACTACACAGCTTCACTGGAAGTTTTAAATCAGAATTTTGCCTCCTCTTAGGGAAGTGCCCCAAACAGGGCTCTCCAAGTCCCTTCCATCACCGCTGCCTCCCCTGGAACACCTTGCCTGGTCTTTGGTTTGGCAAGGATCCGGGCTGATTGCAGGACAGCAGAGGGGGCAAAGCCATCTGCCTGTTCTTGTAGCTTTTCCTCAGCTGCATGGAAATACTTCATTCCTCCACTCTCAAATCAATTCTGAGCAGAGCAGCTGATAAAAACATTTAAAGGCATGAAAGGAAATGAAAGTGCTCAGTCCTACTGGCAGCCACCAGGAGGCTGGGTACCAAATCCTCATTTGTGCCTTTGGAAGTCTTTCCCCAGGGCTTCAGTGCAGTGGTGATTGACCAAAATGCAATTTATTAACTGTTCTTCCCCTCCTATTTCACAGCTTTAGGAGAGGCAGTAACTCTAGGAACTACAGCTCAGGCAGTTTTGCCTGACTTGCTAATTCTTGTTACCGCTCTGTGTTCCAGCACCAGAGCTTCAGAAAATATTATTTTTGTTTTTCTTTACATCATCAGTGTCCTGTCATATAAATGCCAACCTACTGGGCTCCAGGACACTCGCATCAGTGGTGGTGGCAGAGATCCCATCCAAGCTCTCACATTTGGACCCTAAGACCCTCTAGGTGTGGGTATTAAAAAAAAATGATCTGTAAGACAAAAGGCATTCCTTTTAGCTGGTCATGTCCTTTTAAATAGTACTTTTTCCTTAGTCTTTTCATTTTTACAATACCTGCCCTTTCTTCATATCCTGTGAACCAGTAAGAACATTCTGTCCTACACTGCAAGTGGAAGCTGGGATAGAAGACCCATTTCCTATTCAGAGATATTATCTACGTTTCTGTGCAATTTCTGGAGAGTCTCTCAAGCCAATTACTCAAATTATAAACTGATGTCTGGCTTAGCCAGGTTGTCACAGCTTCTGAGGCTGAGATTGCAACTCTGTAAGGCATTGAAAATCTGCCTGTTTAATTACCTTTGTTTCCTTGTTCAGAAAAGGAGGCTAAGATCTTCTTCTATATCTCAACTCATTAATATTTGTAAATTGTTCTGAGACTGCAGGATAGTTGGGACTACTTATAGGACTGTGAAATGCCATTTCAATTAGGTACGAGCTGTCATGCAATTAAAATATACTGAGCATCACAATATGTAGCAAATGGGACATCTTGTTTTACATCAGCCGGAGAGCACTAAGTGGCTTTGTGCTTTCTAGTTGCCTATTACATACTTTTTGCCCTGAAAAACTCATTAAGGAAATGTGTTGGGACATACTGTGATGTCTAGCAACAGTTGTAATCTCAAAGTTCCCGGCCCACAGGAAAAAGGATGCCCACATGGACAAATCAAAATCCTCTCCTGACAACTCCACACAATGCAAAACTTTATAATTCACTGCAGAAAGAGAGGGCCATGAACCACAGCTACAGCCCTTCTGTACCTCTTCAAGGAGATTTCTGTTCTGTGGGTATATACAAAGAACACTATCTGCTCTCAGCATTCCCAGAGGAGCGGATCCTTTGAATCTCAGTTTTCCTTGTCTGACTTACGTGGAGTGACCAGGGAGAACTTTTATTGTCTCCTTCTCCTGCAAATGAATTTATTTTGATTCCTTCTAGAGAGCTGCTCAGAGTCTGCCCTCATTTATGTCTCTAAGAGCTTTGTGGGAGACCGTTTAGCCAAGACTGTGGCAAGAATTCAAGCCATTTGCAGACAATCTGTAAGCCCTTACAGCATCCCCGAATGATTCATTATTTTTCTAAGAATATGAAGCACTGTAAGCACATGTGGTTGTGAATATGCATGCTCACGAAGAGTGAAGATGGGCAGCTCCTTTAGGTCCAGAGGCAGGAACGAAGACCAGCACCGATTTTTTTTATCATACTTTTTCTGTGTGTGTGATATATCCGTTGCTTTACTCCTCTTCATGTTAGCTTTTAAGTGAACCCAAAGCAGAAGGTAGCAGTCTCATTGGCTGCCATGTCTCCAGAGGACACTCCAGATGACCCAGACTAACATCTCCAAAAGGTACAATCCTATGTAAATAACTTATTCTACTGACAATCATCTATAAACCAATTGGCTTTGGCTTCAGCCACACAGGAGAACTGCAGCTCAAGCCATCCCTCATCCTAGATTACAGGGCCTAAACTTAATCTCCATTAAGTTTTCCAATACAATTAGTTTTATATCAGCTTTCAAAACAAACAGCACCTTGCTGTCAGTTATTGGATGAACGTGTATTAACCCAAGGCAGTTCAGACTACAAATCAGAGGATTTGGAATGATTTTCTGAAAGATATCTCTAAATATTCTCCATAAATACCCATGCAATACAAACCAACCTCAAACTATCCCCAAAGGAAAAATTCATGGGAGCAGAAATCAGAACAATTGGTGGGATAAATGTTCAGCACTTGCTCAGGACTGTACTCCAAGCCCGCATCTGCATCAGTATACAACAAATCCATGTAGGCTCTCACTAACTATACTGTGCCTGGAATCCTTTAATATTGAGAGTCTGTACCAGAGCTCTCTTCTTTTCACATTATTTAGGTTATTGCTGTATGTGCTAAAAATACTTGCTCCTTGCTGTTGCGTGTGGATTTTGGATGAGAAATGTTAATTTCCAGTTTAACAAATAGGAAACTGTACCAACATGTACTCTAACACTAAGAAAAAAAACAACCTTCACTCTCCTTCCTGCTCAATGATCGTCTCTTCTTTGCTGTTTTACTCACATACCTAACAGTACCTTCCTCCCTCAAAAGGTTTTATTAGTCTGACGTATCATTCTGCATGTGTTCTCATGGAAACCCATCTCCTCATAAGTTTAGAAGTCATAATCCCACATGAAGGGAAGAGAAAATAATGTGAGAGGTTAAATAAATCCAAAGCAAAGTGAGCATTAGCTTTGTTGCATGGTGCTGTAAAACAAGTTGGGTAAAGTTAGTCTCTGGGTTGGTTTGGCTATCAGCAGCTCTTGTGCTGCAGTAACCCTTGTGATTTTAATTTCACCACTATGCATTAGCTCCTGCTGTCTCCTCAGTTCATTGTTAGCATCAGTATTAAGCTGTTGTAGTGGGAGATGTAATTAGCTTGTGTGTTTTTAACCCATGATTCCACAGTAAAGATAAATGAGATACACAGTACAAAAATAATAATCCTATAGAGCTCTAAACAAGCTTTGGGACCACAGTGCAAAAACATTATTACAGTTTCTGTTGTACAGGATCAGAATGAGGCTGATTTCTTTAGAATACGTAATTTATCCTACCTTGCTGGCTTTTAGTATCTCAAACATCAGAGGCAACCCCTGTGTGATGAGCTCTTCTGTGTACTCTTCCTCTTGAATGGACTTGAATTCCTTCAGTAAGCACTGGATGAGGGGTCGTCTGTGCTGCTGGAAGGATGTTCGCAAGGACTCCAGCCATGTGTGCAGTGTCCAGGGAACACCTATAGACAGAGGACAGAGCTCACTCCCAGCTCCAGAGTAAGATGTGCCCTTCTACTATTTCTATCTTCACTTGTGTTAATCTTCAGATTTTAAGCAAAAACTGCCAAATAACCCTAGAAATAAACCCTAGAAATAAAATTCCTATTTACCACAGCTGAGAAGGTGGGTGGTTATCAAGATGTCCCAGACCTAATACACAGAGACTCTCCTCCAAGTGCTAAGGGAAGATTGTGGTCTCTTTTCTCATCTAGCCCTCAGCTTCTCTGCTGAGACTGCCAATTTGAGGTAATTGTTGTGGTGCTCTGCGACACAAAAACCTTTTGGAAACTAGATTTACATGAGCTCATTTCTTCAAATGTGGCCCTGGAGAGCCACTGACTGGAAAAAAAAGATTTTGGTCACTACCTACCTGTATTCAAACTGGTGGTCTTCAGATTACAATTTTCTGTAAGCCCTATCCCATGTCCTCTACTGCTCATTGCTATTTCCCCTAAACAGCACTGGGTGAGTTAAGGAGATTAGCCTTTTCAAGTAGCTGTTTGTCACAGCAGAACCACTCTCTAGGAACTTAAAGGGAAATGTTTCCCTGCACTGAATGAGAAAACACACAAAGTTAATATAGTACTCCAAACATTAGGCTGGACGTGACCTAGTTTCTGTTCTTGCAGAACAGAGTGGGAGGAAACACAAGCCCGGGGCTTGGCATCAGAAGTACTTTCCTTCCATTTCAGCAAATGCCCGGCACTTTGAGAGCAGCTCTGGTTCTCTCCTCTCGTTCAGCACCTAGAGCTTTGCCTGCCCAGTGCACCTGGCAAACCAAGAATGCACACCCTGACCCATGCACGAGTCCCCAGGGCTGGAGTGCTGCACTGCATGGAGGCACAGGAGGCATGCTGCCTTCTCTCTGGGGGAAGATTAATGGAGATCGGGCACAGAATAATGGACAAACATATTCCAGATTTATTTCCTCCCCTGTTCCTGACCACTCTTGTCATGAGAAGAAGCAGACTCCAAACAGGCTGCTACAATGCTCAAGCCCCATACTAGCACAGTTAGCACACAGAGAAGCCATTCACTGCTCTTCCCTTCAAAGGCTCATAAACCTTGGAAAAGAAAGCTGTTTAAACTGTGGACTGCACTATGGCAGAGTGCAAAAGAGAAGCTATTGGAAGCAGCAGACAAACACTGCCCTAGAGACTTAGCTAACGCTCTGCCAAGCAGGAGTGAAGATGGCTGCTGGTAAAAACTATGCTGCCCTGCAGAGCAGGATATGCTGTGGAGCCAAAATGGCCCCGGAACCTGCAGGATCCCCTATCACGTTCCAGATGAAGGATGGAAAATAAGGGACTGCTCTTACAGTGTGTTTAGCACACACGATTTGACATAAAAAGCAGCTGCCCTATTTTGCAGTTGCTTAGGCAGCAGCAATCTTAACTGGCTTCAGAGAAGCTCTGAGAGCCTTGGCTTTAAGCCTGGGCTGGCTTGCACTTACCTTCCCCATCCTCACCCACAAACCTGCTGGGAAACCCCCTGCAATTACCACCTCCACAGAAGTTCAGGAGGCGCAGCTGCGGTCAGTTTAAGCAGCAGCACATGAAAGACACATTTCTTACAGTGGTATCTCTGATGAGGCAGAGAAGCAAGGGCACCTGCACTGACCTATACTCCGTATGTCAATGGTCACATCCACATATCCATGCTCAGCACTGTGGTACATGGCCTCCTTCAGGGCTTTCAGTTTGGCCTTGCTGTTGCGGCTGGCACAAAGCGGAGCTGCTGCAGAGTCAGGTAAGTCTGTCCCCTCGGCCAGTATCTCCTCCAGCGACAGGATATCACTCTTCTCCTTCTCTGGCTGAGCAAGTAGCTTACGGAAGACATTCCTGGCAATTACAGCATGACACAGAGAGGGAGACAGGGAAAGAGAGAGCAGGAGAGTAGTTAGTGGTGATGATACTTGGTGCGGGACACCTATCCAGCAGGCAGGTCAGAAATTACTCCAATTAACTGAATAGTTTACAGCAGTCCTAGAGCAAGCACCACTCCTGATAGCCCACCTGTTAGCCCACCAGACCACGAGTGCAAGACGCTGCTGTAATGACAGCAACTGTACAGACGTCAAACAAATGGCAGGAACTTTGTGGGAACACAAACCCATGAGCTAAACGTGACTCTCATGTGTCTCATGACTTCTGGAACCTGCCCCACCATCAGGTTAAGGTTGAACTGCCTTAGGACAAGCTCTCAAGACTTTCACCAAGGAAGGAGAAGGAGGCCACTTGAGAAGGGAGATGTCTGGAGCTACTGAAAGCACCACCACTCGATTAACACTCAAAGCAGTTTGGGAAAGCTAGAGCAACTAGGCATTCAACAAGGCCAGCCAGGGCAGGTTCAAGCACATCAGGGACTGCTCTGGCTGGGTGATCAAATCCGGGCTATGACACACCAAAGACCAAATTCAGCCAAACACTTGGTACCTTCAGGTTCATAGCAGCATAAACTCATCAATCTCAAAGGAGTTGCTCTTGGTTTCCACAACTATAAGAAAAGCCAAGCTGGCCACCATCCCACCTCCATCATACTCCGACATCCTCCCCACACCTGCTTGGAACCTGGCATGGGGTGGCAGCAGGCCATGGGGCGTACCAAACAAATGCTGGTTTGGGGAGAGAGGGAAGGAGAAGGGAGCCAGTGTGGGTAGTGTAGAAGTTGGAGTTTAAGAGCCAGTTCTTAGAAATAAGTTGTGGGTCTGTGACGTGAACAGGCAGCAGCCAAGCCTTGGAGAGCCTCAAGTTCTCCTCAGGCACGTGGCTCCCACTCAGAGGAGCTGGCACCAAGGCCTGAGCGATAAATGTAAAAATTGTCCTGCCTGTCCTCCCAGATATCCCTTGCAGGCTCCAGATGGGCAGTGTTGTTTGAACCCACCCTGACATGCCATGAGCATGTTGTTACACTGGCAGCTCTTCTCTAAGCAAATAGATGGTAGGTACTGTCTCTAACCTGTATCTATGTTCCTCTGGATGGCTACAATCAGAAAAGCAGGAATGTGAAGATCATAATACTAATCCATTACACTGCAGTAAACTCCTGAACATTGCAAGATCATGCATGCCAGGTGCTCATTTCATTACTTCCTTTAAAAAAAATCGCAGCATACAGACAACATTAAAGCACACAGGACTTTACAGTAAACACAGATGCAGAAACTCTGTTCGATGACAACGAAGGCTGCAGCAGTACAGTCACAATTCAACCCAAACCTCAGAAATATGTCAAGAAATTCAGAAGGAATGTCTTTGGCATTCCTTCCCACCATCACATCAGCTACTATTTAACAAACATCACATTGCAACACACCACAAGGAGTATCCTTCCTCTTTTTTCAATCAGATACAAAAGAGCAGGTTGTACCACCAACTGGTTAAATTCACATGCTAGCAAAAAGCCTTACATCTCTGCTCAGTTGGTGGCTTGTTTGACTGTTCATGCAGAACTTTCACCCATCTGCTCAAACCAGACTCCCAGGAAAAAAACAACCATGTGAGGGATGCCACTAGACTTGTTCCCACTCTACCTGTGTCCATGCGCAGCAGCCTGACTGAAAGAGTTCATGTCACCTTGTGGAGTCATGGAAATGCCATTCCTGTACATTGTTCCTATCATAGGGTCAGCTCCTCGCTCCAACAGCAAACTGACCAGTTCGAAATTTCCTGCAATTCAAGAGAGGCACTTTTACTTCTTTTAAAACCCACTGCTTGCTCATCTAAATCACAGATCTCAACTGAAGAATTTATAACAGAGGGAGGAGAAAGTCCTTACCGGCAGCTGCTGCTAACTGTAAAGGAGTTTCAGAGTAGTTTTCCTCTCCATGCTCCAAGGAACCTTCTACTTTTGCTCCAGCATCCAACAACAACTAGAAAGAAAATTCACCATTTAGAGCAACTGGGGGAGCCACAGTGTTCAAGAGTTCATGAACAGTGACGAATGAGAGTCTAATGCTTCTCATTATCTGCAAACCAGATACAATGGAGACAAGTGACATGCAAGTTCTGCCCATTATTTTACAGAGGCAAATTGATTCCTTTTTTCGCTCATTTTACATTGCCAGACACCAGGAGCACTGGTGTCCAAGCTCAGAGCCAAAAAAGTGTAACCCAGTGTTTTTGAATGGGAAATGCGAATAAGGTTGGTGTTAGGAAGTAATGCACTGAAGATGGAAATACTGAATATCAGCCCAACAAGCATCCTTCCTTTGTGGTCTTCTAGAAGCCGAGGACCAACTTAAAATGGAACAGATTTCAATTGCCTCCATCTTTTTTATAAAGACATGGCCAAAGAAAGGCAATCATTAAGAACAAATCGCAGCAATGAATCCAAAAGCTGTGGTTTCCATCGGGTACACATCCACATGAATAGTGCAACGCTGAGAACAAAAGTGGCCAAGGAGAGCAGGATAGAGCCTGCCCTCTAGCCGCTCTTGGCCATTCATGTCTTTAGGCTTTCAAAGTTTTAACAAAGCTTCGTTACATGTGCCACAGACACAGCTGTTTTGAAGAATAAACCTTCTTGACTTTAAGATGCCAAAGCAGAGAACTAGCATATCCCACGCAACGCCTTGCTCGGGTAAGGAGACTGAGAGCTTCTCCCCCTTTGGGACAGAGCGATGGCTGTGGCTGTCTGCCTCTCCCCACCAAGGCAGCTGTCTGGTATTTGTTAAGAGTATTAGAGAGTAAGAAAGTGTAATGAATGAATAGACAAACACACAAAACAAGTGGTCAGGAAGGAGCACAAGGAGTTGTCAGACTTTCTTTGGTGCAAGTTTGCTTTAAAATTGTCCTATTTAAACCTCATATTGGTTAAGGTTTGAACACCGTATTTGTTATATAATAGGTCTATTATATATCAGTACACTCTCGAAGAAGCAGAAGTAACCAATATGAGTATGACAAGAGGATACTGGTTTGAGATGGGTGTAATTGGAACTAAAGAGGAGAAAAAAAAGAATGAGATGCAGGTAGGGAAATACAATAATACCTGAACTACAGGAATATGTCCATGCAACACAGCAAATGTCAGAGCTGTCCAATGGCGGGTCTCAGGGTGGACGGATGGGTATTTATGAGCAGTACTGACAACCTACAAACAAATTAAAGTTATTTTTTAAAAAGTGTAATAAAATCAACCTGCCTGAAAGCCAGGCACGTGAGGGAGTAAGTGAAATAGAAAACCTGGGAAAGGTGCTTTAGAGAATGATTGTTTTCATTTTTTTTCCAGCAAAAAAATTTCTTAATACTAAAACTGTTCATGCTGGTTTGACAGCTTGAATAGCGTTATACCAAATGAAGTCTTTTTACCAACTACTGTAGCTCCATCTAAACCACTGGCCACCACTTTTGCACAAGGTCAAAACATCCACAGTTGTTTACAGCAGCACACGCTAGGGGAGCAGGGATGAATCAGGATGCTTATGGCTAAGGACCACTCCCACTGACTTCTGCAGACTGTGTATCCACAGCCCCAGCTCTTGGAATTGCTTCAGGCCCAAAGGAATTCTCTCCACATAAACTGGTATGACTTCTGTCATTGACATCAAGGAAGACAAATCACAGTCCCTGCCCTGGAGTTTTCCAGAAGTGCTTCCAGGCTCCTCCTCTTCCACTGGAGGGCAAATGGCAGCTGAGAACTGATGGGGCAGTGACATTTCACAGATATTTTAAGAAAAGTCTTTTTTATTGCTTTCTCCTGTCTGAATTGAGTTAGAACAGAGCAGGGTGGCTTCAGATAAAAGAGATGCAAACTGTATTCTCAGAAAAAGTGGTGTTTTTTTACATTGCTTCTTCCATTTTCTAAGGTTTTGTTCCTGCTTCCTCTAATGTAGTAATGTAGGAAAGATGAATAACCACTCTCTGCTTCAGTTTCCCTGTCTTAAAGATGGGGATATTAATATTGATGAGGTTCACAGAGATGGAAATATCTAATGAACATTTGCAATCTGAGCTTACACACTCAGATGGAGTATGATACTAAAATTCAAAATCTTGTTATTCATCTTAGAATGGGGACTAAAATCAAGAGTAAAAGATGCTTCACCTCTGTCTTATCAGCCAACTATGCTTTCACTAACTTGTCTGACATACTTTTATCCATGTAGGGGAGCAAAGCTAGTTATTAAATGCTTAGTTGCATGAGCAAATCACATTTCCAAGCACCACATGCAGCATTTTGTTAGAAGCATCAAACCAAGCCCTCGATCCTGAGAACAAGGGATGAGGACAAAATCTGGAGTCTGTACAGATCCCACAATTAAAGTGGATCTGCACCAGAGCCTGGTTGTATCACTCAGATTTGCCAAAGAGAGGGGGTTGAAGTTGCCCTTCTCTCTTCTACAGTTCAGTAGAGACCAGCACATTGCAACCCTGGTGGAAGTGGAGAAGCCTGCTGGTGTCTGAGCAAAGGTGCAGGGATTCTTCAGGTCTGGGTTTGCTCAGGAGGAAGAGGATCAAGCAGTTTGAGCCTAAGGATTTAGGCTGGGGGGTAAGAGCAGCAGGGGAAGGTAAGTGTCCAGCATCTCCTCCTCCAGCATGAATTCCCACTGCTGTCTGGGCAGCCTGTGGCAAGCGGCAAAGAAAATGAAGTCATTTTAACTCCTTTGCTCCTTTTGATTGCAATTCTCTTCAGTTGACATGATGTTTGCAAAAGACCTGTGGGTGGTAGAGCTTTTAAAACCTCAACTGAGATTTGCTGTGCATCTACAGGTCTCACTGACTCCAAAGTGGATTGCAGCTTCTCAGCACATCTGGAGATGAGTCCATTTTTGATAAACACGGGCAATCAAAAATGGAGGCACCCAGCATTTGAGGCTACTTTTGGAAATATATATATATATAACTGATTTGCAAAGTGAAATAAGAAAAATGATGCAGGCACCTGACAGGGTATTTATTTTTGTTCATGGTTGATTTGCCTTTTTTTGCCGTAATTGCCCAATTTGCACAGTTGGTTGTGGTGTGCACAAATCATCTTCTAATTGCACACCATAATTACTCATAGTTCTTGTCCCAAAGTGTTTTCATTTGATTTGAGAGCAAACACTCTACAGAAATGAATCAGGGAGGTTCAAATTTCTCACTGGAGCTGTTCTTTCAGATGTCAGCAGTTTCAGGAAGACAAAACTGTTTAAATTTACATTTGGTTCAAGTCTGGAAGATTACTGGCCCAATTGGAAGGGCCAGGATTTCTGCTCCTAGTGATAACTAAAAAATGCTCTGAGCTGTAGGATCAAAGCAGCAGGAGAGATCAGCCCATGCTCATCCATTCTTTGGTCTGTCTGTCTACAGTGCAAACAAGGGTTCAAATGCTCAGTTATCGCTGGATCCGAGGGCAGCTCACTTGAATTGTGGGAAGGAAGAGGTGAGAGTGGACTCCATGAGGAATCATCAGCTGATTTCACACAAGACACCAAAGAGCAATAAGATAGTAACAGCTATCAGTCACGTACAGGTGACATCTATTTCTGCTTTTAAATTCAATGTTTTAGAAGTGCAAAATGTCTGGCTGAAAGCAGCACCTACAATTTATCAGCTCATTCAAATCCAAACAGAACAGATGGAACACAGATAAGTGAAGCAGACAGCTTAATTTACTCATGACCTCCACAAATTGAAACTGGAACCATTAACAAATAATTCTCTTGTGGATTTTCAAACAGCTTTTTAAAAAATGTACATACCTGCATTGCATTGAGTCGGACCACAATCTGTTTGGTGGACAGATTGTAAGTTTTTGATGTGCATTCATCAAAGAGACATTAATATTCTGGAAGCTTCAAGCTCCTCAGTTTTCAGACCAAAGCATTTCATAAAACAAAGCAGGGGACACTGCACTTGTGTGCTGGGGATGCTTAGATGGAACATCCCAAGACATACAAACGCACAAGCTGTACCAGGCTATCAGACAGACATTTCTGTTACCCTCTTCATTTTTACTCAGCTGAGATTCAGGGATGTCTTCCATTACTATCAGAGCTGTGCTCTGTGCTAATGCTAATGCCCATTTTCATTTGCAGTATGTAAATACAACTATCTAATTACCTGTGGGGTAAGTCCAATGACTTGACCCTTTCTGAAAAGTGAATCCAAATGTTAACCTAATGCAGTCTGATTTCACACATTTCAAATGGTGTTGTCTAGGAAAAGATAATTTTATCTCTATTTCTTGGGATTTTCCCTCTGCTACTGTTTCAGGGGGTAGTTTAAGATGTCAACAAACAACAGAACAAAGATACAACCAACAAAAAGTCCTCACCTCAGCATTCAGATCTGCTCCAGCATCTAGCAGCATCTGCACCATAGCCTCATCACCCCTGACACAAGCATACATCAGTGGAGTCATGCCCTAGTCATTTTTTGGAGTTAAAAAACAAAGGAATTGACAAATTTAACACAGAACTCTTCTGATTTTTTAAAAATAATTAGTTAAGTATGTATCATTAAAACTAACAGTATGTATTTAATGAAATCCATTACCTCTGTTACAGTCATGCCCCTCAGACTAACAAAAGCGAACCATTTTGTAAAATCTCCATTTTCATTGTCACTTTGGCTGTTTTGTTTCCTCTTTACCCTTGACATTCTCAATACAGCCACTGAAATAGCATCTGTAAACCTCACCTCCATGTTTATGTACAAAACTCAGCATCTTTGCCTTTTCTGTGGGACCCCACGGAGAAATGTTCTTATCAAAACAACCATACACCCACTGGTAGTTTTAAAAAATGATAATCTTAATCAGTTATCTATGATCACTGTTTCTTAAAATCTAACTTTTCAATTACTGACAGAGCCTTTAAAAACATACAAAGCTCCTCTCATGACAAAGTAAATTTGGGCAAGTTTTTTCCATATGGATACCATAAGAGGCTGGAGATGCAAATGCTTTGTATTGCACTCTCTGGTAAACAAAGACTTAACTTTAAATGAAATGCTAAACAGCTGCTGTCTCTAGGAAAGCATGTCCCTGTTTGGAGGAGAACTAGATTAACTGACCCCTCACAATAGAACACAATTTGTGTTAGTCTAAAATACCTGCAGCACCTGGTCACCGTCTCCCTTGAGATAAGTATTATTATGGTTGTGGTAATGCATCTAGATGAAACGATGAAAAAATCATTAAATCTACCATAAATTATAATAGAAAAGGCTGCTTATTAAATACAGTAGGTGATGCTGACCAACAGCCACCAGTTGTTTTGCACTACATTTACTGCAGCATGTGGCTACCTCTGATGTGTGTTTATAGCCTCCCTCAAGGTTCTCTGGTAAAATTCCAGTCAGCTGGCAGCAGGTTCACTGTTTAATCTGAGTGCTGCCACAAAGTAAAATTATTTTCAGAGGCACAGGAGGTGCCCAGCATGGCCAGACACAGAGCCGTGCCACTGCTCTTCCCGTCCAGAGCCCAATACCATTGCTTTTGCTGAACTACCCACTCTTCCTGCTTGCACACTGGGTTGAAGGTAGCAGGCACTTGCATGTGGAAGGATTGTAGAGAAAATAAAACTTATGGTTTGTTTCTGCAAGGTAGACACAGTTCCCTTTAAATGCAAGGAGCAGAACGCTTTTGGAGATACAGCAAAAGGGAACAAGAAATTTGGGCCTCCTGCTGTTATTAAGAAACAACTTCATCCCAAGCAAGGACAGGTGTGGGTGACTTGAAGTTATTTGCAAGGAGAATTTGAAACAACTTCAGCTACAATCAGTGGCAGAATACTTCTTTTGGTAGTTAATAAACAGTACCAGAGAAAATGAGTCCACCAGAACTACAAAAAAAAGTGCTTGAGCCTTGAAACACAGTGACTGGTTGGTGGATTAAAATTAAGGTGACTTAAATTATTATTTCAAATTCTCTAAATGGTCTCAGTCAATGATTAAATCAAGCATTTAGCACACGACTTTGAAAACCTGCATGACCCAGCATTTGCACAGCCAGGAGCCCCATGGCAACTCCTGTGTGCCACATATGGCTTCTGGACCCACTGAAACTGATGAGACTTACCACTGACAAAAAGGGGCCCTGAATGTCATGCTGTGGTATCAGGGTTTTACAGTGTTTCCAAACTCCACTCCCCTTGCACTGCTGTCCCTCCTGCCTATCTCCAGCCTTGATCTGCAGCTCAGCCTTTCAGCATCCCTCAAACCACTCTCTTTGCACATGGGAGGAATGGGATTTTAATGAGCCCATCATTACCACTCTATGCACACAGGGACATGGTAACAACATGAAAAATCAACACTAGGGCACATTAGGGTTTTGGCAAAATAAAAATGACTCTTTTTCTTTCAGCCTTGTATAACTTCCGGCTCTGTCCTGTAAGATGTGGGATATCTGGTTCAGGGAGGCATTTAAGAAAACTTTCACTCAGATGGGATGTAAGCATGTGTTCAGAGTTAAGCATGTGATTAAGAACTTTGATTCATCAAGGCAGAATGTTTCTAGCTTTCAGCCTGGAGGACAGAGGAAATATGCTGCAAAAAGTTTCCAGATTCAGACTAAGTTAAAATAATAATGATTTTTTTTAAGTATAATGTTTGAACATTAGAATGGGCTCTCTAACACAATATTTTTTGCAGAGAGTACTGCCCTCTTCTAAAGCTTCTCTCAAACAAATCCACAATACTGACCCAAACTGAAGCTCCTGAACTCTGGAGCAGCTTTCTTTTCAGAGGAACTAAACCAACTCACAACCCTACCATGACTTTCATCTGGGGGCATCAGAAGATTCAGGGAAATTCCCTTCAAAAGGAAACCATAATATCTGTATCCATCGTTGCCCTCACGGGAATGGGGAATGACCTTCCAGCATCACAGTCCAACAGACTGCTGCCAGCAGGCAATTGAAGAGGCAGGTTTATCCCTCAACACAGCCACTGGCCTCATGGAGAAGTAACTCCAGAGAAATCTAGGTTCTTCTGTAGGTGGATATTGGCCTAAGACTAATGGAGTGGTAACGTTGCAGAGAGGCTTTCACATCTAGAAGACCAGTTCAAACATGGCTCAACTCAGAGTGCCAGCGATTAACCTTCTCCTGCTGGGGTGGTGTATGTGAAGTGTGTTGCAAATCCCAGGGCAGTTTCTCTTGGAAGATGTCCACCTCACAAAGCTCTGTCCCACATTAAAACTGCTTTAAGTATTCAGAGCAAGACTAAGCTCTCTTCTGATCTCCTGGCTTCAACTGATTCACTTTTCTGTTAAGAAGATTCCAGGAGACATTCACCCTCACTCTGAGTTACCTAAATTCTAAATAATCACTATGACCTGATATGACCAAACTTAGTTTAGTTGTTCACCTAGTGAGGCTTTAACTCATTGCAAAATAACGCAGGGAAAGCATTAAGGTCCTACCTACATTTAGTTGACATTTGGGTTCATTTACTTTGATAAACAGAAAAAAACTCTCCTGTTTCATTTCTTCTTTACATTTCTGTCTTGTTACCTGTTCACTCATGCTGTTAATCCCATCCGGCCCTAGCAAGGCTATGGCCTGTTTCACCAGATCCGTTCGGCCACAGTTGAGCATCCGGAAGCCCAGGTCCTGCTTGAACTTTGCTTCAGTGGCAACTGCATCCAGTTTGCGAGATGCACAAAAACAGTCGTCGATCCTGTGAACGTGAGAAATAAAGTCCCTCAGAGGACAGTCAGAGGACAGACCTTGCTGCCCTTAGGAAAATAATACTCTGCCCTATCTTTGAAGGATGTAGGTCATGCACACCATTCATTCTCCTCTGACCTGTATGCCCAAGGAAAGTGCTGAATGGGAAATGCTAATGCATACTAATGGAGACTGCCCTTGGTCTATCTTTCATGGGACAAATTACATATTTTCCTTTTTTTTTTTGTTGGGAAAAAAAAAGAGCGCTTTCACTTCATTTTTTTCCCCTATGGAATTAACACACAGCACATTCTCACTGCAAGTTCTCCCTCTGCATGATGAGGTGATCCAGTCCCCTCAGTTACTGAAAAGTTTCAGTGGCTTCAGTTAGCTTTGAACTAACATCAAATGGATGTATCATCATTGACAATACAACAAAGAGAAAACAACATCATTCCAAACACCTTCAAGTGTCTTACAAACACAGCCCCAGTAACAGAGGTGCCTCTGCAGAGCAGAAAACGCAAGTCCTGCAGACAAGTAGGGCACCGTGTGATCAGGAAAGAGAAAAGCATTTTTGCCAGGTAACTGTGGCAAAATATCATGCATCCCCACTGGCTGTGCATAACAAACGAGATATCACTCTTTTCAGATCTTATTCAAAAGATCCACAAACTGTAAGCTGCTCAAGATCTCCATTTCAAATGGATGAAGGGCTAGGAGTTATTTAGCCAGATGTGAATCTACAGCTCCAGAGAGAGCAGGCAATTCAAATCTGATGTTTACTTAACTCGGTTTCATCTTATTAAAAGACAGATTTGCTTTTCTTTCATGCTGAAGAGTGTCTGGGTACAGGGTGGAGTCCAAATCCACAGTGCTTTTGGTGTGAAGTTGGATAAAGAACTGGAAAAACAACGCTTTGATTCTTCAATGACACCAGGTCAGAAAACAAGGGGCTACTTATGAATGAAAAACAAAATCAAGATCAAAAGTGAAAACTGCAAATAGACAGCAAGCACTTGTTTTCTATTTCACATGAAAAAAAATGGAGAGAATAAAAAAGTATATAAACAGAACATCATTATCATTTAATTTTCTTCTTCAAAGTACTGTATCGGTGCTTTATAAAATATATAAGACTGCTTAATATTTAACAGCAATATGCAAATAATACTCTATATAGAAGCAGTGGTATGTAGTAACAGGTACTGTTCTTCTTTCAGCAGAGGAAAGAAAATTAAACTGGAAATACAAAGTATTTTGATCAAAGCTTCTGCAGGGCTAAGAACTGAAGCTGGCATCTGGGCCTGAGCTTGTTCTTTGCCTTGCTGGGCTGTGACTGGATTGGAAGCCAGTGGATATTTTGGTGCTGTTCACTTTACACGCTCAGTTTTGGCTTTGTCTGCTGAAAAGTCGATGTCCTACAAAAGCAAATGAAGCAAGCTTGAAGTACCATTATTTGGGGGGAAGAAACAGAATGACACTTCATCACAACAGCATGCCATACAACACACAACCACAATAATACCACTGTAACAACAGCAACCGGATCTGCAGAAGTAATATGCCTACAAAGGAGATGAACAAAGAAAACCATAACAGTGCTGTTTGTTGCACAGATGTTTTTTGAGCAATTTTAAGGAAAAAGAAAAACCAGCACAGATATGCAGGGCTGAGCTCGATAACACAGCGATCCACAGGAGCAATTGCTGCTTCTACGTGTTCACACCGTATGGCACATTTCTGGCACAAGAGCTACACAGCATTTGGTACTTGCTACCCCCATAGTACAGGATACTAGAGATCATCTGTGCTCTCCTTTAACGTACAACTAAGACAAAGCATGCTCACAAGTAGGTGTTGGGATTTTCAGTGCCCAGAGGGAATGCCTGAACCTCCCAGCTCCAGCTGGCCATTTCTGGATGACTGTGGGCTGAAAACAAGGTGGTTCCTCAGTGAAGCATGCCTCTGGAAAGATCTAAACATCCTCTGAGGACTGCAGAGATGTCTGCCACTATGAATCACTGATTGTGTCAAGCCACTGCTTCATCATTTGTACCAAGATATATAACATACACTGAATAAAATGGGTCAAAATCAGTGCTAGCAGAAACAGGCCGAGCTTCACTGACGTCAACCAGACTTGGTGCACGCATAATGCCAGCTGATCATCTTCTCTTCCCCAGAAATATGATTTTGACCTGAGTTACACACCCACACAAGAAAGGAAGAAGGAACAAGGGCCTACCTTATTTATTTCGTATGGGCTGCCCAGAGTTCTGCTCTGGTATGAATTCAGGCAGCATCTACTGCTCTGTAAGTGACTCCTCTGAGAGCTGGAACTGATACCCTAGGAGCACACCAGTTCACCTGCTCAGAGCCTATAAAGGGGGATTTTTTAACACTCATACTGTGTATCAGCAAATTAGTACTCCTCAATCAGCTATGGCGAATAAGTTTTGGTTCAAGGCTATAGCTTTGTGAGCAGCTTTGTAAACACTGCAACAGTCTGGATTCAGAGCAGTGTCTGAGTTGCAAGGCTGCTGGATAGCACTGAAGACATGCCATCTAGACCAAGTACCACAAAGCAAGAAGCCACAACTTAGTACCATTACCAGTTGTCAATATACCCCCAAAAGGGTCCATCACAAGTGGGTTATGGTTCTGATTTATGGAACAATGGCAAGACTGGACCCAGATCATTGCTGCTCCCACCATTATCATATATTGACTAATAAAATGACTAAACTGGGGTGTTCAATAAAACAAGAACATGACGTAAGGGAATGGAATGGAGAATGTTTCAGAAGAGAAAGCATAGCAGCAACGAAAAATGCCAGAGAGATGAGTGAGTTAAGGAAAGGAGATTTAACATGTACAGATATAAAGCAGTGAAGAGACGGATCAAAAATGATCAGGAACTACAAGTACAGAATAGGAGAATACAGCATCATTTTTAACACTGGAAAAAGCCAACTGGGAAGATGGTACAGCAGACAGAGCAAGCAGCCACACTGCAGAATGAAAATGAAAGAAAGTGAAAAAAAAAACCCAAAGCCATCAAAAATGAGCCGTAAGACAACCCAGTACTGCATTTGCTCCCAGGTCCTTTTTCTTACCAGAAACCGTGCAATGCTAATTCCAACAGTGAAGTACGAGTGCGGGTCTCTGCTCCATATTACAGTAATGGATGTTCTCCCATCACAGACAACACAGAGACTCACAAACATTAAAGAATGCAAGATAAAAGAAGGAAGAGAGCAGGCACCAAAGCTTGATGCATTCAGACTTCCCATCTTTGTAATGTAATGAATATACCGACAAGCAATGTAGAGGGAGGGAAGGGTTGGGAAAGAAGTTTGAAAGATCAGGTTGACTAAGGTCAGCTAAACATACAGGGTCACTCTTCAGAGTTGTGAAGCTGTGCCTACAAAGAAATGGAACTGGAAACGTCCCCAGCTGCACAGTCAGTTTGTGGCCCTTTTGCCAAGAAGTAATTGTGATCTTTGCAGTCGCACAGGATGCTGACACCGGCTTGACAGCTGGATGTCCCCTCCAAGGCCACCTCAGTTTGTTGCCAGATCTGTCAGCTGCCAGTGCTCACAGTTTGTCCTTTTTCAAGTCCTCACCTGGCTTCTTTATCAACTGGGACAGCTATGAGAGGAGCAGATCGCAGGGGCAGTGCTCTCCCCCTCTTCTTGCTGAAGACAGTCCTGGGATGGCAGGATCCATCCAGGGCTGCCAGCTTCAAGGGCTCTGGCAGATGATGTAGTCCCCATAACTCAAGGCTTCAGTAACACAGCCTACAAGCTCACTATCCTACATCAAGCAAATTACTCTTATATTCAGTAAAAGAAAAACTAGAAGGCAAAATTTTCTTGATTTTATTTTTATTGCTAAGCCGCAACCACGTTTTGGAATTTTTTTTTTTTTTAAAGAGGTTTGCTCCCAAATTTCTTTTAATTCCTCACCAATATTTCTTCTACAGCATCTTCAAGATCGCTACCGTGTTGCCACTGCATATATAATTAACTTCACTATGGCATCATATGGGCAATGCCATGGTAACGTTAATTATTTGTGACTGGCCACTGTCAAATTCTGAACGGTGCCAATGACATTCTATCCTAATCCAAAATACTCACACTTCTGACAGGAGCCAAAGGTAATCTTCCTCATTTATAATGGCTCCTAGCAGCAGAGCAAATTATTTTTGTCTTTTCCCAAACTCACATTAGGGCGATGGAATGCAGCATTTCTACGGCAGCTGTTACAAATGTTAAGTTTTGTCATTTTCATTTGGAGTGGCTAAGAAAGGGTCTGTGCTGATCTTTAATAAGTTACGGATTGAATACATCTGGGGAAACAGATGATTCAAAGTGTTTCCATCGTAACTGGTAGACGCAGCAGTTCTCTTATTACATTGCTTTTTAATTATTTGTTCTCTTGGAGGGGATTATTGCCATAGTCAGTAGTGGACAATTAAAAAATGCAATGCTCTGTAAATGTTATAAAAAGGAGAAAAAAAAAAAGAAAGAAAAAAAAAAGAAGATCCTAATTATGTTCTAAGCTATACGTGCCAGCATCACGAGCTAATAGTTAATTTAAAAGAAATGGAAAGCTGAATGTGATGAGCAGCAGCACAAATGCTTCCCTCTGGTAAAAGGAACAAATCATCATCGTGATACCCAAGCACCAAAACCTTGTTTGTCCACTTGGGACCAAATCACCAGCTCTTTCAATTAAAAGAATGATAATCTATTAATTAAGTCCATCTCTTCAGCTCTGTTGAGTTTATTCACTATGCCTCTGTCCTAAATATGAATGAGGTCTCATGTCAGAAATTACAGTTCAGCTGGTTGCAAGTCTGGAAGGAGTCATATTTTAGCTAGCAATATGCATGCATTTGCAATGCTTAATTTCTTGGGGTCAAGGATCACCGTTTTGATCTGGGTATGCACAGCCCATAGCACAAAAGGGTCCTGTTCCTTGCCTGGGGCTCTTCAGTGA